ACTCAGGATTCCACCTAAGGTCCTATATTCTGTAAAGGTTTGCATGAGGTCTATTTTACTGGGCAAGTTGTAGAACCCCTTTTAGGTATTCCAATCAGATATCAGCTGAAGGCGGGCTTACAAGATTTCACTAATCATGTTTCCCAATATTCCTTTCTATCCCACTCAAGTGTCTATTTTACAATAGTAGGCAAGGGAAACTAATATTCATAAGGCAGTCAAGGATTGTAGTATTATTGACCCTCTTCAAACTATTCCTGGATCCCTGACCCCAGAGCTCAGTTGTTCCAAGGTTGAATATGCATCACAATTTACCTCTGTCCCACTAGGCCATGCAAACCTGTCTCAGTGTTCCCTATCTATCTTGTTCTTCCGCCTCCTCCCCCCCTTCTTGTATTGCCCTCCCCAACACCCAAATTAAACCCCACACCCCAACTCCATTGTGGTTACCTTATATTCCATTAGTTCTTCTCTCCATTTAAGACAGTCTATTTTATCCAGTGATCTACCTGACCTTCCTACCACCTGGATCTCTGTTTTCTCTGTGTTTACCTTTTTCAAATTGTAATTGTTTTGATCATAGACTGACCTCCCAGATCCTCTGTTCTTATAATTTTATTCTGTTCTTGACTCTTCCATTTGTCATCTGAGTTCAGGTTAATGCTGCCATGTACATCATTCTGTAGTTGTTGTGATTTTTTTTTTTTTTAAATAAATGTTTTATTGTGAATTATGTGATAGTTTACATGGGAGAACATTAATTTTACATTCATTCTATCATACATCATTTCATTGCCGTAGTTAACCATCCCATCCATGCATCATCACCCAACCAAAGGGTATATCCTGCAAGCCTCCCCCGCCTCCCACACGGTCCTCAGCACGCAGCCCCTTTCCCTCTCTGGATCTCATGTCCCCAGCCACTCCATCTCTTCACGTCATCATCTCTTCCTCCATCTCAGGCCTCACTGCTTCTCTGGGTAAGGGTCCAGCTCTCTGCTCTTCTCCATTAATGGTGCCAGGGCCCTCCGTTCCTAGACTGAAAAGTTAATCACTCCCCTCCTTGCTATAAAATGTCCACCTTTACATTTCCAACCCATCTGCATTTCATTTCATCAGTCCTTCCTGGACAGGCTGGATATTATTCACTGGAGACTCTACCTTCCGCCATGACCTTTGGATCTAGGTTCCTCTTGAAAGCTTGTAAGCCAGTCACTTCTTATGTATCCCTCCCTGCATTTTGGGTAGCCAATGTCCAAGTTGCCCATTCCTGTCTACTCTTTGTGTGGAGGGAGTGGGAATAATTCTTGCAACAAGCATTTATTTCCTCTTTTGAGCTACTGCATTTATAGGTGTAGGTCAAGTTTATCAAATTGTATCAGATGACGCTTTTTTCCTCTTCTTTCTTCTTCGGGTTGAGCTCTGTTCAGCCAGTCATTGAAGCCAAGTCAAGTGGGTATCATCTGCAAGTGTGGGTGTTCTTGCGTCTGTCCGCCCTCTTATCATCTGGCTGCTTCACTCTCCACTCTAGTCCTCTGTGGCTGTGTCATTGACTCTGAGCCCATGAGTCCCCAGGTCTTGCCTCGCTGGTGGCTGACTAGGTCTCCACGTGGGTTCACAGTAGTCTGCTGAATGATGTAGGGCTTAGCTCGCCGCTTCATTGATGTTCTTTGGTCACCAATTAGAGTGTGTATTTCCATTGTGTCTTAGTCTTGGAAGAGGATTTCCACTGAGAGGACCCAACCACTTGCCTTGATCTCTCCTGGGCAAGCAACTTGCTGCTTCTTGTGGTAATAAGCGGACTGCCCTTATTGTTTTGTATTTTTCCTGTAGGTCTTTCTTTCAAGAAGTATCTTCTGGTTTTCTAGCTGCTCTAGGCTGGTCGGCTTGTAATTTCAAGTGGAAATTTTCCCGTCTCTGAAGGTCTGGATGTGGTTCAGGCTTCCACCTATAGTCTTAATGTAATGCAGAGGCTCCTCAGGAAACCTCCTTCACTGGACACATTGTAGTCCCATTTTAGGTTTTCCAATCACTTATAGGCAGAAGACGGACTTACAAGCTTTCTATGGTGATATTTCTGGCTATTCCTTTCTCTTCCCCTCCATTGTCTGTTTTATAATATAATGCATGGATAACCAAGGTTAAAAAGACAGCCAAGCGTCTTAACATTATTCCCCGCTTTTCCCCATTCCAACCATGTCACAGTCTCTGTATCCCAGAGCCCTGTTGTTCTAAAGCTGTGCCTACATCATTTTTTACTTCTGTCCCATTTAGCCCATTCATACATGTCTAATTGTTCTTCCATTCCCCGCTCCCTACTTGTATATTGCCCCCCTACCCAATACCCAAATTATCATGTATCTATTCCCTGCCCTGTGTTCCACCTTCTCCTCCCACCCCTAACCCTACCACTATGTCCCAGCAACCAGCTAGGTATCCACTTTAGTGGATTAGTATGGGTTCTTTTTCTTAGTCTTTTAGAGTAATGGTCCTATGCAGTAAATTTCCCTTTGTGACTGACTAATTTCACTCAACATAATGTCCTTAAGGTTCATCCATGTTAGTAAGTGGTATGCAGCTTCCTTGTTATTTTTCAAGGTAGCATAATACTCCATTGTGTGTATGTACCACAGCTTGTTTATCCATTCTTCAGTTGATGGGCACTTTGGCTGCCTCCATCTTTTGGCTATTGTAAATAGTGCTGCTATGCACATTGGTGTGCATATATCTTCCCGTGTTGTGGCTCGTTTTCCTTGGGGTAAACACCAAGTAGAGGAATTGGTGAATCAAATGGTATTTCTATTTTTAACCTTCTGCGGAAGCGCCATATTGCTTTCCAGAGAG